GAACAAAATCTGGTCCTGACATCGGGATGACTGAGGCTTCTTTTTACGGTTCACAGAGCATTTCTGTGAGGCCGTAGGAGGTCTCTTTCTTCCGACGGACTGGCTGGGGGGCAAGGGCTGGGTCAGACCAGCAGCAGTGCTCACCATCCTCTGAGGCGAGGAGGTCGAGAAGACAGCCCATTGATCGTTTCCGGGAGCCTTATGTATCACTATCCACCTGGGGATGATGGAGCGCAGCGCATCCGTCTGCTTCTTCTGCATCTCGAACTTAGCCTGAATAGCATCAAGGGACTGTCCAAACAGGCTGCTGGAGGAGGCAGGTTCATCCAAGTAGGAAGCTCTGTCTCGGTCCAGGTCATTGGATAGAGTCAGCCAAAGGTGTGTCTTCCTCCAGGTCAGATTCAGTAAGCCATTTGATCTGCCCCGCTAGCAACAAGGACTTTGATCGAAAGGCCATCATCATGGGAAGCCGGAGAAACCAACTTGGAGAGCATGGGGTCCTGCTTCAAGGCCACAACTTCCCCCAGGAGATGTTGAAGAAATTAACATGCTGTTCAAGCGTGGGGCAGCGGAGGTGGCGACAGAACTCGCACGCCACTGGGTCCGAAAGTGCTCTACTAGCATGAAGAATTCCCAGGCAGACAGAACAGACTTTGTGCAGGTCCTTCACATGAAGAAAGAACCCACAGCCCTGAGCACAGGGACAAGAAGTAGGTTTATGCTTAGCAGGTTTACAACATAATGGCGAGACACAGAGTGGAGTGTTAGAAGCAAACGACAAAAGAATGAAGGCAGGAAGAAAAGAGCCACGAAAAGATAACGCTCAGTGGGTGAACGCCAGCCAGAAGGCAGCAGAGTCAACACCAGCGAGCAGTTAAGCTAACTTTTCAATTGCGTGCTTACCAATAGATGTGATCTCAGCGAGGTAAGAGCGTAATAACTGAGAAATTACAGGGATGCTGGGTATTTATTAGGGATGGAGAGATTCACCGATCTAAACCGGTGGCTCGTTCGTGACGTTAGCAATGTGACTGCACCGGTAGCTTCGGTATGCATCGGTTACAACCGATGGCATTATCAAAATGTATCTTTCCATGCGTGTTTCTCGTCAGTAAAACCATGGTTATATCGATTACTTCTTAGTTTACCTACTATGTCTTCCCTTTTTTAGGCTCATTGAACACTTCGTCTCTTTCAGCTAAAGACACGTACTGCGCAGACACAGTGGGAGCATATTGGGACAACATTAACTGACGTTCATGCTTCCTGTCTCAAATAGCCAAAATGAATAAACTTCTCCATGAAACGCGGTGTTTCTACGGTCTCTAGTTTCTGCAGCAGCACATTTTTAAGAGCATTCTTATTGACCTGTGCACCTGAAGCTTTTTGTGAGGTAATTTTAAGAAAATTCCTTATTATCGTAACATTTGTGCAGATATAAAAAAAACTCCAGAAGGAAGGACATTTTGCCCTTAACAGTGGTTCAGAGAAGTTCGATAAACTTACATCTTACATCCTTCTTCTTCCGGCTCTTGGTGGGTGCAGACACTTTTTCCTCCTCTCCTCCATATCTTATCCTCAAGGCCTTTGTCTCTGTGTGCTGGGTGCATGGCTGCTTCTGCATTTTTCTGGAAACTGGAAACTGAAATACATTTAAATGGATCTCGTCAGCTGGTCTCTCAACACGATTGATAAATTTTTTTCAACAATGAGAATGGGAGAAGGGGCTCCCGGATGTCCTGCCGGTACAGACCCATTTGGACACATCATGGACTCCTGGAAACAGTGGAACTTGATTTGTTTATCTCGGCTGTCTGTGGAGGACTCTGAAGACGTGTGAATATTCGTGGTGTTGGTGTCAGGTTTCCTGCTCATTGGCCTTGGAGGCTACCTGGCTTACCGGAAAATTAAGGAGCTGTCGAGGAATATTGGCCTGATCCCGGAGCTCAGAGATGGTTTGCACCGCGCTGTGAATTCACAGACTCAAATAATTGTTGAGATGAATCGTAAGGCACATTCTTTGGCACAAAAGATGGATGCCATCAAGGAGAGAGTAGACGAATATGCACGGATTGGGATAGATTAACATCCATTATGGGATTTTGAGAGGATGAGGACCAAAAAACTGTTAGACAGAGAGGAAATTATCTCTGTCTGGCCCCAAAACAATTTCTAATCAGAATCTGGCGTCCTTGAGCCTGCAAGGCTCCAACAAAAACTCCTCCCCTCAGAAGGTATGTGGAATATGCCATCACTATGGCAACTCAACTCTGTCTCCTTTCCCAGCCTGGGCAGGACTGCGGGAAGGCCGCTGAAGCGTCCAGGGTCACTGCAACCCTCCAACCCTCAATGCTCCTTCCCCTATCCACACTGAGGTGACATGCGCTGCTTCATCGTGGCTGCAGGATCTGAAGTTGGGATAGTCCCAACCCACCACCCCACCTAGTGGACACTTATGCAACAGACTTCAGACAACACAACATATCTGTCTGTCTGAGGTGGGGTTTTTTTGCAGAGCAAAGCTGCCCTCCTGGTGGGAGGGTAACTTTGAAGTGCCTTTTTTTCCCTCCACCTGAACCAATCCTCATGTAACCCTCTTATCTCTATTAAGGTGGCGCGACTCATGGTTGCGAATGACCATAGTCACCAATTCTTGTCATGTGTCTTGCCCATGTATGTCTGATCTCTGAATTGTGTGTACTGATACTCTAATTTCCCTCTGGGATTAATAAAGTATCTTTGATTTGATTTGATCTCCCTGCATCTCCAACATTAACGTTTCTCTTAAAGGAACAGTAACATTAGGCTACAGCAGCTCTCACAATAGCCCCTTATGGATCATTACAATATTTAAAAGTTATGTTCAGATGCTTACAGTGTTTCATATTAAATCCTAATAATTATAAGATGAACGCTAATTATTTTCTGATTCTGTTGATTTTTCTGAGCAGAGTGACTGTCTAAACCTCATTTCAACCCTCCTTTTTCAAAGTATTCGTAGAAATAAAAATATGTATAATAGGTAGATATCACTGATAAAGTTTGTCTTTTCATGTTGAATTTATTGATAAACAATAGAGGATTAAATACATCCTTCATAGAGGAGAGGGAAAACATTGTGATAACGTTTAAAAACCATATTTGAGCTTGTAAATTCATTTTAATGTGTTGAATCGTTTCATATCGCATCGTGATTTGTATCGAATCGAAAATCGTTTTCAAATCAATAATGAACCGAATCGTAGGTTTCACCATATCATTAATGTGTCGTATCAGTGGCAGCAAATCGAGCTACGAATCGAATCGGCCTCAGAGGTGGAAATTCACGTTCCACCGTGCCACCGTCGCTCCACCTTATAGGTGGAGCGACGGTGGCACAGGAGTTAAGTGCTCGCCCCGTAATCAGAAGGTTGCCGGTTCGAGCCCCGCTCAGTCTGTCGCTGTGTTTGTGTCCTTGGGCAAGACACTTAACCCCCCTTGCCTGCTTGCCGTGGTCTGAGGGACCGGTGGCGCCATTGCTCGGCAGCCTCGCCTGTGTCAGTGCGCCCCAGGGCAGCTGTGGCTACATCGTAGCTCATCACCACCACTGTGTGAATGTGTGTGTGAATGGGTGAATGACTGGTTGTGTTGTAAAGCGCCTTGGGGGGTTCCAGGACTCTAGAAGGTGCTATATCAAACACAGTCCATTTATAGGTGATTAGATGTGTCTTCAGCCAGGCCACACGAGGACGTGATGTCCCATAGTAGCTTCGTTGTACCGAGTGAATCGACTAAAAGAAAACCTTTTGTCATTTTCAGATTTAATGTTTATTTACATGAGATTCTCTGCTTATTGAGCTGAGCAGCAGGAAGTTGCATCTCTGGCAGTCAGGTCAGCAGCTGTGGAAAGGTTTATAAAATAGTGTTTGCATTAACTGCTTGTCAGTTGTGTTGGACTTGAACTCCAGGTTATTATTCTGTTTTTAAAAGGGGAAAAAAGACGTTTTGACATTAATATTACCCCTTATTAAAAATAGGGGGAAAAGTAAGTTAATGTCCAGATTAAAATAGAATAGAATAAAACTCTATTGTCCACCGTGGTTGAAAATTTCCTTTGTGTGTGTGTGTGTGTGTGTGTTCCTTTTGTTTGACCATTTTAAGACGTTTGGATAAACGGAACAGCAGGCTTTGTGAAGAGCCATAGAATTACATCACCCAGTGTGTTGTGGGTGTGTGAAGCTCTTTCTCTTAGGGAAAGCTGGTTGTTGGTTAGAAGTTTTGAATAACGACAGGAAGTGTTGTGGCTTTGTAGTGTGAGATTGTGTTCTGTGGCTTGTTGTGGGAAGGCTTGTTGTGGGTGTTGAGGACATTTAAATGAGTGCCGTGTGTTGTTAGGGTGCTGAGAAAGTTTGTTTGGGTCATTGTGAAAGTTTTAAACTCAAGGCGGTGTGAGAACAATGCTGAGAGACGAAGACTTCAGAGATGTTTAGGAGTCTATGATTGGTGATTGGCTGAGGAGAGAGCAGAGGGAGGGGTTCAGGCCAGCTAAGAGTCTCAGACGTCTTGCAGAGGAGTGGCGTCTGGATCGGCTGACAAAAGCTTGTGTCTTGTGTGTTTAAGACCTTCAGGAAGCAGATGAGAGAGGGTTGGGTGGAAGAGGGGGTGAGCAGAGGGACAAGGAGCACTGAGGGTGTCAGAGCAGTCGGGGCACCGGCGGGGAAAGTCGGGGAGACGAGAGGGTGAGAAAGAAGGAAGGATTTGCTGTTTAAAAAAAGAGCTGACGAGGGAGAAAGAGAGAGAGACAACAAAAAAGCAGCTCAGAGGAGGAGGGTGAGTGTGTGAGAGATTGACGGGGTTAATGAGAGGAAGAGTTGGTTAGCAAGTGTCCACCAGGAATCTGCTGCTGCCACACAAGAAACCAGAAGAGCCACTAAGAAGGAGCTCACTGACAGGAGCTGCTCTTTGAGTCTCCCTCCTCCTGTTTTTCATGCCGTTGTTGGCCTTAACCGGTGGCTGATCACTGGGGCGCCACTACATCGCCATGTTCGAGGCCACGCAGAACGTCATGCTGAAGCCGACTGAGTCCTGGAGGGAAGCGTTGCTGGACACCCGCGTCATGGATCTCTTCTTCTCTGTGAGTATCCATCACTTCCTCATTTCTTCTCCCTGTTCACCCCTGCCTCAGCCGTGCTGCTGGTGTTTTATTTTATTTTATTTTGTGCCGACCTCTTGAGTTCTGGTTTATTTATTCTGAGCGGAGCGAGTGGAGCCTCGGTGTCACCTCCTCTGTTTGGCCCGTCTTAACTTTGCTCTTGTTCTGTGAACGCACTATCAAAGGGATTTATGGGTAGTTTGTGTTATTGTGTTACCATCCAGAAGAGCGCTTGCTCTGTGAAGTAAATGTGTATTTTTGTTCGGTGTGCTCAAAGAGCCGGCTCATGCTGGCCAAGCTCATGGTGTGGAATAGAAGAGTGGAACAAACAGGTCAGCTCTTCTTCCATCTAACCTCCGCCCACAGAGGATGCTCCATCTTTTACCTGCCAGATATCCCATTCTTCCTTCAGCCTCTGCTCTTCTTTCTCCAGATTAGAGTCTCTCTCTCACTCACTCACTCTCTCGCTCTCTCTCTCTCTCTCTCTCTCTCTCTCTCTCTCTCTCTCTCTCTCTCTCTCTCTCACTCACTCACTCACTCACTCACTCACTCACTCACTCACTCACTCTCTCTCTCTCTCTGTCTCTCTCTCTCACTCACTCACTCACTCTCTCTCTCTCTCTCTCTCTGTCTCTCTCACTCACTCACTCACTCACTCACTCACTCACTCACTCTCTCTCTCTCTCTCTCTGTCTCTGTCTCTCTCTCTCACTCACTCACTCACTCACTCACACACACACACACACACACACACACACACACACAGCTGTTGTATTATTTTTTACCTCATGCACTCTTTACTCCATCTAATCTAACTTTGATTGTGGGGTGATTCTAAGTGACAGGTAGGTTTGAATATTTCTGAAACGGCGAGGTTTCAGCACAGAGAAACAAACTGTATTCAGAGGAAAATGTAATAAAAGAGCAGGATGATGTTAGCCGTAGTTGTACGTGGACAGAAGAGGTAGAAAACTTTAGACTCACCACCGTTCAGGGCTGTGATTTAATCTGCTCGTCTTTATCGGCCCTCAGTGTGTCACTGTGTTACTTTTAGAGGAAAGTATTTTAATGACCCAAAATAATGAAAGAAATGTTCGTTTTAATTTTTTAAGTCTTTAAGCTGTCCTGAAATCTCAGCTTTCATACTAAATGCAGGGTATCTGCGGATCCGTAAAAAGTCTTAAAGTTGCTTTTCCAAATTTAAGGCCTTAAAAGTCCTTAAAAATGACAAATAATCCTTAAATAGAGTTTCCAAAGGTCTTAAATTACCAAAGACCCAATAAACAAGATTCTTTTATTTCTATAAAATTTTCGTGAATTTCTAGTTAGTGTTCAGCATTTTTGTGTATGATGTTGGCGTAAGCGGAACCGTATACGTTCAGTTGGTCGTGAAAGGGGGCTATTTTTAGATGAGCACATTAGCTGGTTAAGCTAGTGGGAGCTTGCGCCATGGGGAAGGGCAAGTTTAATGGTAACTGGGTGGCTAATCCCACGTTCGTGACGTGGTTAGCACCGTTTCCAGGCAATAGCTGGTAATTATAGCTTAAATTTATTTTTAAAAACAGCTTAAATTTGGTCAAAGTGGCCTTAAAAAGGGTCTTAAAAAGTCTTAAATTTGGCTCCCTTAAACCTGCAGATGCCCTGTAAATGTCTGTGTCCTTATTTAGAGATGGTGTCCCAAACTTCTGATTTGAACACCAGTGACAGACGAACGCACTACAGACAAAAACTATTTCTGTAAAAGGCTTAACAGGACGTCGTGCACCAGAGGACAGAAAGTTACTGTAGTTCTGGAAGAGGAGTCATTATTTTAACTGATTGTTTAATGTTCTTCATTTGTTCCAGTCCAGTTTGTTTCACAGCTGGTTTCTACCGACACACAGAAGTTGTTTATGGTATAATCCCTGCAGGGTTGCTTCTCCATGGTGAAACCAGACTGCCGTGGACTGAGATTAGAGCAGAAATTATTCATTTAGTTTTTCGTTTAATTGTTTGAGCCTTCTGAAAGGATTCCACATGTTTACAAGGATCCAGCTGACTCGTTTCTGTTTCCTGGCTTGGGACGGATTAGGTCGTTGTGGCTTAGCAGACTGTATCACACACACCTAGCCTCAGGTGTTTGTTTTTGTAGCTAGATTATTGATTTGTGATTTAGTGTGTGGAGCTTTGGAATAGCTCGAACAATCAGAGGCAACAGGAAAACTTCTTAGTCTTTGCTGAACCTAACAGAGCCTGATTACCTTTGTATATCTGTAGTATCTGAAGTAACCAGTAAGAAGTACATTTACATGCAGTTAATATTCATACTACAGGGCGAGAAGCGTTGTGATGCTGTGTTTTGGTGAATAACCGACGTAACACATGTTACAGAAACTACAGAGCCCTAATCAGGCTTGATTGGACTACCGTGGCGACTGCCTGGCATTAGATAAAAATGTTTGTCATTTTTCAGTCGGGCGTCTTTGCTGCTGGAATGTGGAGGACGTGTTTTGTGTTGGTTTCTTTGTTCAGGCATCTAGTTTCATCTCGAGCTGCGGTATTTCTAGTAGCCCAACGGTTTGTTATTGTAAGGCTCCTGTCAGCTGCCTGTGTGTGTGTGTGTGTGTGTGTGTGTGTGTGTGTGTGTGTGTGTGTGTGTGTGTGTGTGTGTGTGTGTGTGTGTGTGTGTGTGTGTGTGTGTGTGTGTAAAGGGGGTGCATACAGACACGCGCCATCACGTTCACAGTCCACAGCCGACCAGTGGTGAGCTTAGAGCCCGGTCCCAGGATTAGGGGCCCCTGTTAACAGCCGCAGTGACTGAAGCATAACACACGTCGCCCTGCAGAAGGCCTCCAGGGAGTCTCCGTCCCCCAGAGGGTGGATGTCTGTCAGCCTCCCATGATGTAGCTCCTGTGTGCCTCCACTCGTGTGCATTGTGAGCTAACAAGAGACTGTTGTCAGTTTCTGCAGCCATGAGGCTCAAATTGTGTTCAGGAAATCGATTTAACACCATTTGTCATTTAGTCTTCCTAATATTTCCTGCCTTTACATGTTACTTTTCCAGTCAGTCTGGCTTGTTCGTGTTATTTAATTATTACACAAATTAGAAACAGGAACTTGATTGTCGTAGGCGTTGTTTTTTCCAAGAGTCACTTGAAAATGAAAGGCTTTTTTACTGCGGTGTTTTAGTAGAAATGATTATGAGAATTTTAAAGAACAATATGAGAAATGTGACGTCTCCTTTAAATGGACGAGGTTGTTATGGAAGGAGGCGGTTTGTGTTAAGCTGCATGTTCACTCATAGTAATTGCAACGATTCAACGAATCAGTGAGATCATACTGGGGCCCTTATTGATGGTATCAGCCTAGACTCAAGGCTGAGATCTGTTTTTCACTGGCAGGACAAAAGCTTGTCCTCGGTAATTATTGTTCTGTGTAGCATCCATTTTACTGCTGAAGAGATGCTCCGTACAACAAATTGTCACTCTGGCCCCGGGGGATTTGTTAGAGAGGCCGTATCTCCTCCCTCGCTTCATCTACGGACCGTTATGGCTCTGGGATTCAGAAAATACATGTTGGTTGGAAAGCTATGGGTATGAAGGAACAATAGCAGAAAGACTGGATAAAATAAGAAGAAAATAAAGGTACTGGTGTTCAGAAATGAGTAGAGGGGTCAATTCTTTTAGGGGAAACGGAAAAATGTAATTCAGAGGAGGTGAATGGTAGAGGCAGTTTTCTGGAGGACGAATGGTCTAAGCGCTGTCATTATAGCAAGATTTATTTTACCACGGAGGAAGTTATCACAATAAAGTCCAGTGGTGTCTCACCCATCAGCCACTGTGGCACATCTCATTTTTCCTTTGTTACTGTAATTTCTGGGAGAACCGGTTTGTGTACGTGCTCTGAAGAGTTACGCGTTTATCCAGTAAACACAATCAGTGTAGAGGGCTGCAGCAGGAGGCTGCAGGCAGACACTAACCTAATCAGAGAGAGATGATGGAAGAAAAGATGGGGTTGATTTGTAAGAATAGAAAGATGACACCCCCCACCACCTATATAAATACAGGTACCAGGCACCAGGCTTTGGCTTTCCCACCATCGCCCCGCTTTCCCCCTTCTGTATTCCTTCTGTACTCCTCTTCTTCTGGTGTTCTGGTTTGTTTCTTCTTCATCTTCTTGCTGCTTGTTCTGTTCATCAGCTTTCATCCTTCCCCGTCTCCACAGTCATTCTTTCAACGGGTATCAAACATCATGTGTCGTTAAACTTAACATTAATGTTGTTGGTCTTTGAACAGTTTTTTTTCTTATTAAAGGAACAATATGTGTAATAACCACAAAACAGTCCAATGTGTAAGTCCTATTAGAAGGAACGTTAAACGGAAACAGATTTCATTCTCAGCCCACTGGAGGTTGTCAGTTTATCTCCTTTTAAAAAGGCCAAAGAGGGACATTGTCTTTGTTTACAATCAGTCCTGCCTGCATACTTCCTGGTTTTAGAGCCAGTCATAAAAAAGCCATTTAGTTGCCAAGTCTGTGCTAGCTAACACTGCTGCGCCATCATTTGTAGAAAACCTCAGAGTTGTGTAAAGAACTGAAGCCAGTTAAAGGAGCGCCCCAGTAGTTAGTTCTTGTACCCCTAAGAAGCCATTTTTTTACTCTTATATGGAGAAAAGAAGGTTAGAAGCTAATGCTAACATTGGGCTAATGCTAACAGTTATTTAGAAACAAATAGTCAGCTCTAAAAACATCTCAAGTTACTTTTGGATTCACCTGTGTATGGAGGTCAAGGGTCACTGAGTTTACCAATCCAATCCTGAGTTCTAAAGATTTTGAAATCAATAAAAAGTCAGCAGTGTCCAAATGTTGCACCTGCCTAATGTTGTTTAAAGGGACTTTACGGACTTTTTAATTTTTATGCTCGCGATTGCCCCCTCAGGCCAAAAGCGTAACGGCAGCTTCAATAGTAGGCTCGTGCACGAGGCGCGCATGCTGTACGTGCACAC